TGGAACCACACCTCTCTCTACTTCACAATTCTCGTTTGCCTATCGATCTGTTTCTTAGTCATCATCGGTATGTACACATATACCTCAGAATTATAATTAGATTTGACGGATATCTACCTTCATCGTGGACCCCGCTGGTGCTGCATATTTACCAAAAATCCTTGTTTGCCGCCCTGCAAAATCCATTACAAATGAAGCGTGCATACAAAACCTATTGAATATGTTTCCTCATACGTTACTACAATTTAAAGTTAAAATAATAATAAAAAATCATATCAAGAATGTAGTTTGCGAGTAAATGTTCTCAAAGTTTATAGCTGTTTCGTTGACGGTGTGGATGTTGTCACTTGGGGTGGGTGACCATCCATCCATTTTCGTTATATGCTCCTAGAAAAAGAAAAGCTGCATCTTACACACTGGAAATGGAAAACTAGCGAGCGTTCCATTTACAAAGTGCTTAGCTTCTGATTCTGGATTCTTGGTAGATCCTTAATAAATGCATTAGCTTCTTTTTTTCTAGAACCTCATACTTCATATATAGATAGCACTGAGGAGCTTGCGAGACGTATATGAGGTACTAGCTAGAGAAAAGAAGCTAAAACATTTATAAAGGATCCATCAAGATATGCTTACTACACGTATTGAGGAGCTTACTAAAGTCTAAAAGAATGGGTTAAGAAACATATTATGATCGGTTTATTTGATGATGACTATCTCTGCGTAGCATTTGTCATTTGTCATTCTGAGCCCTTGTTTCTTCTTCCTTCTGCTTTCATTTCCACGCTCTTGATGCTTCTTTTAGTAAGTAGTCCTCGGTTCAAACGAAAGAAACAAAAAAGAAGTAGGAGAAACTTGTCCTTCTCGATTAGCGAAGGACAAGTTTATGTTTGTTAACGAAGGCTGTGTCCGTAATAACGACAAGAAAAAAAATCAGGTGAACATGTCAAGTAAACTAATTTTGGTGTGTGCTTCGACTTGATCATATTGCAGAATGTATTGTTCTCTGCATTACTCTAACCAGCATGGAGCCTATTACGCTAGGAGAATGGAAATTACCCAAAAGACTTGCCTGCCAATGCAATGGATGGAAGTGAAGCCAAGACGATAATTAGGAGGACAGTGAGCTTCTTGGGAGCCACGAAGACCATGATGGAAATCTTCCCTGAACTCCGTCGCAAATTCTTCCTTTCCTTCTTCTCCTTCTCCTCCTTCTCCGAGCGCATAGATAGATAAGAAGCGAGGCTTCGGAATGGAATGCAACCAGCAGCGTTGGTTGGCGAAGAACGGGTGAGAGATCGGGTACGTTGGAGAGTCAATTCTTTAAACGTGACAAGGCGAATCCCACTGGACTCTCAGTTTTAAGTTAAACGTAGAAAAAGTGGAGAGACAGTACTTTCTCCATGGAGCGTTAGGAGCTTAGATAGTAGCCATAAGCGACTCTCTCTCTCTCTCTCCGAGACTGACTTCAGCGCGTGCAAGTCATCGAGATGGCAACACCGCAGCATGCTTGAGATTTAAGCCATCAACCACCATAGAATAAGCATTGTTTTCAGAGAATCGGCTGCTTGAAGAATAAAGCAGTGGTGGTGCAACTGGGTGGACCATCAACTCTTTACTTATTTCAAACAAAGCCCGATGTGTATGTAGTGTAAGACTATTTGGTTGCCTTCTTTCTTGAAATTGATATTAGACGCTTAAGTATGTTGGTACGTGCAGGCAGGCGAGGGATGGGAGGAACATTTATTCTTCAAGGGAACCACCACGTTCTGTCGCAGTCTAACGAAGAGAGGGGACTGGCTTTTCTTCGAAACAAGAGGAGCCGTAGTGACATATTCGCGGCTATCAAAGTGGCTTGGAAGCTACTGCAGTAGCAAGCCGACCCATATAAAAGAGAAAGGAGGGTGCCATGCGTGAGTGCGATGCACTGTAACCTTGGGGATCATCGTTTCACCTAAAGAGGACCAGAGAGTGTATAAAAAGTAAACGAAGTGGATGCGTAGTGCTTCAAATCATCGACGAGGACAAGGACATGGAACCGACCACCCCGCTGGAAGACAACGGTGGAGAATGAAGTGATGCGTAAGGTTTTAATATTCCGATGCCTTTAGTCTCAGAAAGTGGGTTTTAATGTAATTAACTTTATGGAAAGTGACTTGACCACTATTATGTTATCTACAATAATCACAGTCATGCGATGGCTGAGTGCTGCGTCGTCCGATGCTGAGCTGCGCACCAAAAGTATCTTTCGCCTAAAATTAACCGACAAGGAACAATCTCGTGGAAAGAGAGAGAGAGAGAAGAAATCCAAGGCAGGGCTTATGGCCTGGACACGTGTGCGGTGCGTGGCAGTTCAACTCCTGGAATGTGGTTTTCTATAAATGGAGAGCGATTTGGGGGAGACACTCACATTTTGGAGGAGGTAATAAAAGCAATTTCCCTTTTCAAATTATTTAGACTCGTTTTTCACATGAATATGAAGGCTCACTCAGTTTTAACCCACAGAAATTAGAATATTATATATATATATATATATTAAAAATTTTCTACAGTTTAAAGTAGCTTGGAATCTTTTTCTAGAGACACTATATATCGTGCTGTAGCACATGTGCAAGAACAAGCGACCAAAGTTCCCCTTCTCTTGCGCAGCAGTAACGTAGGGTGAGCCGTACACGACCCATCGAAACGCCGAGATTCCAGTAACTCACAGACCGAGCTTGAATGACCCCAGGCTTCTGATGCAACATGACATGATTCGACCAGTCAGATCGTGATCCACTAGATTTCTCGATAGCTACTGTATCTCTCGAGAGGACTTGCAGTTGCAGATAACAAGCTGCATCCCGTCCCTCACTCTATTCGGCCTTTTTCTTTCTATGCAACATAATCTCACCCGTGTCTCAGACAGCACATCCGTTGACTCGGCATTTGTCTCGCTGCTAGCCGCTTGTTCATGAACGGAGACCATATACCTGTTAAGAGCCTATGCAATTCCAGAGCGGGACGTAGGAATATGGGCTAGAGTTTTACGGGCCGGGGCAGAAAGTTGAACGTGCCTTCATGTTTAAATGGGATGAGCTTGTTCTGAAAAATGATCCATGGGATAGAATGAACAATGTTCTGTCCGGATAGAATTCTCATGTCGACGAGCATGAGAGATAGAATTCTCATGCGTTGGTCAGCCCGCACCAACCATGCATAAACAGGATTTCTTTTCGTTTCCGCATCATCATCGAACACCAACGAAGGACTCCTCAAGTGGTCGTTATCAGAAAAAGCGGTCGAAGCGAAAGAGCAAGGACGGGAAGGGTCGTTTTGTTTCTCATGACGTCGCTACCACTTCCACCATCTCTGTGGCTGTAACACTCGAACGTTCATCTTTCCTGCCGACTGGTTCTGACCTCGTGGTTGGGCCACTTCAAATAGGATTGCGTGACACAGCGGTCCCGAGCCCTCTCCGTGTGTCTGTCCTAAGAAGGCTCTGCGCACAGTGGTAAAATGATGCGTGAGCACTTATCCACCCACCACCATCAGCTTTTCTCGGCCTCACTTCACCTTCCTCCCAACTGCTCATCACGCCATGGCCACCAAACGGTCGAGGCTCGCTCTTTTGGTGGTGCAGAGTCGTACGAGTTTCCACAAGCAAAAAGCTCGCAGGAATACAAAGCCACTACACGAGGCGGTGGCCTTCTGATTCCTTCTCGTCTCAACTGGCCTCGAGGCCATCGATCTGAACCAGCAATGCGACCAAAGTCATTTCGTCATCGTGACATGAGTCGGCGGTACTAGTGTGTAGATCACAAGTTCCACCAGAGTGCAGCCCACCGTCCGTGGAGCTCGATGTGGGCTGCAGAAATTTCGTCAACTTCTGAACACACGTTCATCCAAGGTTCGTCTAGATTACAGAGAGTAGCATGAAGATGCCAATACGTTTATGGAAAAAAGAAGTCTCTTTTTTCTTTTAATTGAATAAAAAAGTTGTAACATGGAGAACTCTTTCAGAATCATAATAAAGGCGAGAGAAGATTACCGTTTAATACCTTAAAATACCCAACATTGTGTTTAACTCGATGCATCGCTCGGTTAATAGCTTTTCTCGATGTTGAAGAAGACTCGCAGTGCTTGTTGTATTCTAAAGAAGTCTGACAACTGCCCGTCTCGTAAGAATTTGAACGTGACAGCCTTTGTCGACGTTGATGTGCTAAAATCTATCTAATTCAATCGACGGATGGAGGGGGAGGCAACAGTGGCCGAAAGGGAAGGCGATCCAATTGCATACATTAAAAACTTACGCATACCTAAATGCATTAAATAAGCAATATCAAATACTTGTGCTTCGAGAAAGCTGTTGATCTTAGATTTCTGTTTTGAGACAAACGAGGAGAGCATCTCAGATCACACAGTTTTTGGCCATATCTCTGCTGATAGGTAAAAAGAGTGGGCGAGGGTTCAGCTATTTTTCTATCGAGTTCGCTTCCAGATGTTAGATGTATATGATATAATATTGGTAAGGTGGACCAAAGGAAACCTATATGGGTCGACACCATCGTACTTAAAGCAGGGCCATCAGCGTTCAGTGGTCCACCCGCTCGCCACGCCAAACATGACAAGGACAAGAAGTTCTCATGTCCCAAGACGGAAAAATAAATAAATAAATAATACTATTTTTTTATTATAAGAATAAATAATGAAGATGAAATTCCAGTTCATAATTTTGCAATAAATTATTATTTTTTTACCGATTAAACTAGTTAATATCTTCAAAATAAATAAATAAATATTTATTTATTATTATTTACGTAGCTCTCAGCTAAGTAAGTACATGGACCAAACGATGCAACCAACATTAATATCATGATCAAGAGCACTTCTAAAGGAACCACCCATTAAGCACTTCTGTCCACTTAAGATCGACTACCTTCTGCATCTATTTTTCACGTTCGTAAATGAATATTTATATATAGAGAAAGAGAGAGAACAATTTGTCGGAGGATCTGACGGTGGAAAGAAGCATTTTGAATGTCAACCATCCAAGCAGTACTCCTTGGATGGTATAATCCATACATATACGCAATCTTGATGTTTTCAAACAAAGCACCTTTTTGCATCTCACCTCGGGAATTACTTGTGAGAAAGAGAGAGAGCAATACACTATAAGCCGGTATTAGATAGAAAACAAAGAGAAGGATTTGATTACACTCGACTGCTTTGGATAGTAACCCACATGACATGGAGACCAGAATAAAAACTTGGGTGCACAGTTCCCTGTTAAGGTCACTTCTCCACCTCCGTGGTTTTCCTTCCGTCTTTAATTTCTTCTTCTTTTTTATCTTCACTCACTGGTCCACACCAAAGAGATTCTTAGGGTTGGAGATGTTCTTCTTCTGCCCATCCCTCGATCACACCCCGAGATAGTGAACATCACGGTAGCATAGGACCATGATGCATTACGAATTACACCACCAAAAAGATCAGTCCAAAAAAAAAGGGTCCCTCCTGAGGCCCCCGTGATAGCGGTCTAACAGTACAGCTGAGACGTGTCTGCGGAGGCCATCATCATGGGCTGGTTCGCACCCATCAAGTTCCATGGCCTCACGAAGCTATCCGACGGCTGAACCAAGTCACCGATGGCGCTGCCGATACCACGCATGTAGTGAAGGATCTGTCTCAGTGACTGCAGCGTTGCGGTGAGTTCCATCGTTTGGGCCCTGAGCACGGAGTTCTCGGCTTCCACGCCGACGTAGTGCTGCGTGGTGACGCTGAGGGCGGTCAGGATCTGGCCGTTCTCCTTCCTCAGCTGGCTCACCTGCGCCGTTAGATCATCCAAATGCTTCTGTTTCCTCATTCTGGAGCGGCGCGCTGACTCCCGGTTCGACAGCATTCGCTTCTGCTTCCTCTGGTTCATCAAAGCCTGCAGGTCCTCCTCGGACTGGGACTGCCCAATCCGGCTCGAACCGGAAGAAGTAGCACTAGGAGAGGCCATGAGACCTAACAGAACTATATATACACTAATTTTCTTAATTATTATCAATGGAAGTGCAACACACCAAAAGATATTGAGCAGAGGATTATTATTGCGATCGAGATTGTATGTAGACGGTAAGTAGGTAATAGGAAAATATATAGAGATGTAGGTGGTATGATCTGAAAACAAGTTTATGAGAAAACGTAGAACCAGTAAAGGAACACCACTGAGAAGGACTGAACCAAATGCGTCCGGCGCCTGAGTGTGGAATTTATCATAAAACCCAAAAGGAGGATCTCACTTAGGATAGGTGACATCTATCAGAAACATCAAGAGCAGCCTGTTCTGCATGTGTCGACAGAGGAAAACGTTTTCTGAGGAGGTAGGCCGGAACTCCGGAAGCCGAAAGATATGGCAAAAAGAAATCAGATTTTGTGATGAATCTTGGCAGAAAGAAAGATGAGAATATTGGCAGGAGCAGCCACGAAGAAGTTAGATTTGTCAGGAGGGAGTTTAGATTTAGAGAGCAAATAATCCAGGCTCCAGGGGAATAGGCAGTTTCCTACGTCGAAGACAGGAGGAGGAAAACAGAGGAGGTGGAAGAGAAGAGAGAACAGGGAAGAGAGCAGCAGAAGCTGAGTATTTAAGAAGATGGAAACAGAGAAATGGGAGGTGGAAAATGAGAAGCAAGAAAGGCGAGGGGAAGAGGCATTGGTTGTCCAAGAGAGTGGGATTTATAGAAGCAGAATCTGGGAGAACGGAGATCTAAAATGTTGATGAAGAGAGAGAGAGGGAGAGAGAGGCTGTTGGGGCATGTTGGGTGGAAATGGGCTCTTCCACAAGAATCCAATTCCAGCTGGACAGCACAGCCCAGAGCAATTAAACTTCCAACTATTTTATTCTCAATTAATAACAAACAATTATTTTATTCTCATAATAATAATATATTGGTATTTTTCGACAGAGACGGCGGACGCCCTTTTCCTCTCATTTATCGGACCGAACACGCAATCCATCGGTAATTGCCGAAGTGCATAATCTTACCACCATTGTCTGAGCGCACAGGTTTTAACAGCGTCTCCTTCCTCTCTCTCTCTCCCTTCCCTTTCTTTTTTTGACATCTCTTGCAATCATCCATCTGATGATTTTTCATCGAATAAAGGAAAAAAAATGTCATGCGCTTTTCTGGACACTTGTAAGAAGAAGGCCACTCCATCTACGTTCTCCCGATATTTTTTATCGTCAGACCAGACTGCGTGGAGAAGTTGTTGGACTCCGGCCTTCGTAGCTTGCTCATTTTTCATCGTAGTACCATCACTCAAAACTTGTTGCATTCCCTTCGACGTATGTTAAATTATCTGAAAACATGTGGATGAGCTCTCTCACCGTGTTCATCGGAAGGAGATAAACAGAAAGAAAGAAAGACGGACAGATTAGGGAGAGAAAAGATTGCACATGTGGAAGAAGGTGAAAATCTCATTCACAGATTACCATGCATCGTCTTGACCTATTCTCATGAAAGTTAACCCCTTCCCTTTTTTCTTTTGGAATGCATCCGCAACCGTCACACGTGAGGATCATGAAAGGGTGTGCCCAGACAACTTTTCAGCGTTTTCCCTTTCCCTGGCGTGCTGGTGGCAGAAGAGAAAGTTTATGGGTCACAACATCCTGCGCTTCGATGGGCCACCGGAACAAATCTATTTCATTTTTCCGTCGTGAGACCACCGTCCGCGAATCCTCCTCCTCCTCCTCCTCCTCCCGGCCAATGAGAGGAGTTTGGATCGAAATTAATAGGTAGGGGTTTGGGATTTGGCCTCGTCATCATTCTGGTGCAAAATCAGCTTCTGCATTTCTTAATTCCAAAGGTCACGAAGCAGATACAGATGCTGTAAATAAATAAGAAAAATTAAAGCACCATCCGGTTAAGAGCAACGACGAACGTGCACCCCCTTGTATATTTAGAAGGCTGTGTTTCTGTAATGTGTTTGGAAAAGCAAACCGTGAGAATCTTTAGTACAGGAGTGATATGTTCTGTGATGGTAACATAAAATATCTAAGCAAGAATAATAAGGTTCGCATGCATTGCATCGAACGCTAAAGCAGCTACTGTTGGAGGTGCCATGCACGCATCCGGACTCCAAGTGACCCTTGTGCTTTAGGTACAAACCATCCTTCTAATCCACAGGATGAAAGGAAAAAAAGAGGCCAGCTTCATGGACGTATTCACGCGGTCTCTAACCTTTCTTTTGCAGGATATGCTAATTTTTTAGGGCATATCCGAGTTCAGTGCTGGCGAATCAACGTGAAACCATCCCCGTCCCCGCATCTGCACCCCTGTCCGAGTAAAATGCATGTGTTATCGGAATAGAACCTTGTCTTTAGCACTATATCGATGACCATAGATTCTGCTATGCTCTTTACAAAGGATGTCCACATCATTCCAACTTTTATGCCTCGAGGGAGAGGCTGCAATCTCTCTCTCCGCAACAAAAACAACAGCAATAATAACAATTGGTAAATAACAATAATAATAATAATAATAAATAATTGGTGGAGGCAAACAGGCCTACATATATAGTCTTTGGATTTGATTGGCATCTTAGCCACTATCCATCATCATAGATTCTTGGCATTCATTTTTGAAAGCTCCATCCACATTGTGGTCAAGCATAGATCGTAATATACCGACGGGGACGAACTAATCAGATCTGCCAACCAAAAGTATAACACGGCAAACGAATTTGTGGAAATTTAGGTCATTGGATGGCTGTGGAAGAGATGAGTGATGCTTTTAGATTTCCCAGTCGGCTCCAAAGCGAGGAAAGGTTTGAATTCTGTCCCACCATGCGATGTATTCTAGTCATGCTTTTTCACGTATAGATGAGTGATGCATGCACACTATTCTCTGGAAACAATATCTCCTCTTTGACGATCTTGGTCAACATAAGCATCAGATGCCCATGCGAAGCCTTTACACTAAAAAGGACTCGACTCCTGTAGGACATCCACCTTCTTTTTTTTCGTGGATGGTGGTCATGCATAGGAATGATGCACCGAAAGGACGAAAGAACTTTGGTTATAATTGTTAGTCAATATAAATATTTTGCAATCAACTCTGTTATAAAGATGTTTCCCACTTCAGATGGGACCCCTTCCTTCATTTTTTTCGCATTTCATTTTTTGTAGTAAATTTAGTTTTTAGATAATAATTGTCATCTTTAGAAAAATGTTTCATGTCAAGTCTTACCTCTAATGCCTACTTAGGTTACGATGATTATTCGGAAAACCACGGAGCTGCTAAAAATCCATATTCGAAAGTACAAAGCTTTTTTTAATTAAAGATTATAAATCGTCAGGACTATCAAACATGTGTTTGTGACGTGTTTGGCATACACGACGAACAAAAAGTCTGTCCAAAATATAAAAATGTTAGTCAAGTAAAAATACTGACACAACGTCATCACGATTCCTCGACTGCAAGAGTATACATACAATAAAGCTCATAATATGCATTATGATCGTCTTCCATTTGTAGGTGAGTTGATATTTTCTCCCTATGAGACGCCATTGACGAGAGTCGGTGTGGTCAAGGAATGCACTGGTACTTGACTCTCCTGCATCGTACTCCGGTTCCCGTACGCTGGTAAAAAGACCAAGTAGACCAAGGTGGCCCAGTTAGATTCCCTCCTCGATATTGGACGCATCGTTCTGCATAGAACCACATGGTGTCGGATCTCCAACTTCAAACAACGACAATAACGAGAAGCCTTCATGTGACCTACTGCCTTACTTGCCGATCGCAAGTACTGACATTTCTTGCAGGAAAGCATGGGCAAAAGGTGCATTCACCAGCTGGGGTATCTACGCATGCAGCTTTAGAGCCGTGGCCTATGTCTCCCTACTGACCACTTGATATGTATTCACTTCTCATATAACGAACGTATGGTCGACAAGTTTTGCCTCTTCTCTTTGATCGCAGTTTCCGAGGAACCAATTGGCCAACTCTAACCAGAAAAACAAGCAGAAGCTATACGGAGAGGTCGGACGTGTCTCCAGTGGCACTCGAAAGCCTCAAGAACCACTCCACAGCTTAGACGGTGGAATCGTCGACTCCATTGCAGTGTTGAGTCAACACAGGAAACTTCCTCCTCGACTATGCCACCTATCAGGAGAGCAAGTCTTGATTAGTACACAATCCATTCACCTCTGCTTCTGATGTATGGCTTTTGTCGTTTGAAGAGGTGGGGGTAAGTAAAATCTCTTCAAAAATAGATAAATTCATGTGTTGATGCTGTCTTTTGCTTTGAAGGCGATGGCAAGCTTAAGTCCGTACGTCCGTATGTTTCGGATGTTGACGTAATTGCTTATGAATTGTGTAAATGAATGATGTGTTTGAACATTTTGCGATCCTGTGTAAGTTTTCTGTACTCCCCTGACGTATAGCTCGTGTCGATCTAATTAAAGGTGGTGCGCGCAGCTAAGTAAAGGTAACATCATCTAAATGCACTAGAATTAATGCAAAATAAGGTGCTGATTTGGTTTAAGATCACGATATATATATATATATATATATATATATATATATATCCAAAAGGAAAGATCCCACCGAGCACGCGGTGCGATTGTGTGGACAGCGTACCGATGGGAGGAAGGCAGCGCAAGAGTTAATTTGGTGCTTGCGTGCGACGACACCAACTCACGCTCCTTCCCTCCCATCGCATGATCGGCTGCTCTACTTTCCCCATCTTCATGCCGACCAAACTGCTGTTTACACATACATTTCATACGTTTCCAAGTAAAATTTCGAGCGATATTTGTGTCCCAATTAAATCTCTTAATTTGAATCCGGACAAAGCAGAACGAAAGATGATTACACGAGAGGATTGGCCCCATCCGTTCCAAGAACAGAGGCCATTCAAGACTAGAACATCACGAGTTCTATGCATTTCGCACACACACATATGGATATATGAACAGAAAACGGGCACGAGGTTTTGTCGGTTGGCATGGCTCGTTTCACTTGACGGTAGAATATGGCATCGTGGAAGTATTCAAGTTTTCCCATCTTTATGGTTTTCTCCTCTTCTATAACTTTGTTGTTGATTTGATGGATGTGTTTTATTTGTATTACGAGCGGCAAATCCAACTCCATCGGTGCCCATGCATGTACTGGAACGAGTCTTTTTGGAAACA